AATAAAGGTCGTTTATTATTATTATTGTTATTATTATTATTTCAAGATAACGTATAGGGCCCTTCTTAAACCGACCAACATGTACCCATTCTCATGTAATAATTAGTTTGCTCTTTTCTCTGCATAATCGACATGAAACCCCGTAATAATTTATATTTGGGATGTGGTCTGACTCGGAACAATAATTCGCGTTTGGTTGCGCCGAATACATAAAATTTAATGACGTGACGTTATTGGTTTGAATGCGAGCGAACTTGAAATTCTCATTTATACCGATTTAAAATCGCGAGGCGTAGAGATATCTGGCGAATATGTAGCCTCCATTCGTAGGCCTTGTCAACATAATTCTGTGTTATTTTAATGTTGTATTAATCCGTTCTAAATTGGGGAAAGCATTGTCATCGATGGTATGGAAAAAACGATTAATAATATTAAGCTTTAGGGTTGGTAGGTTAATACGGATTCTCCTATACAATGCGTTGCGTCGACACGAATTCAATTCAAATCTCTCATTAGGAAAATCCGTTATCGATTTCGCTGCTATTTCTGGTTCCCGTGGTAAATAAATCAACAAGATTATCAATAACTTGTCGTAAAAAGAGCCCGGGGTTTGGAGGGAACACAGCGAAAATGATTTTGTTGTCCCAATTTTACTTTCTAAAGGGAAATAACAAATACCAATGAAACAAAAGCCAATGAATAGATAAATAAATGAATTTTGAAAAGGGCCTCCAATTTTTGAACATTATGATTTATTAAATCATGTGGCAAAGAATTTATAAAGTTGAATGCTGCTATAACTAAGTATTTTTAATATGCTGCTACTCTGTGCTGCGGTGTTAAAAATGTTAATTTATTTCTGCTATGCAGAGTTCAGCTTGAATTTATTTTAAAAATTTTCTAATGTAAGAAAAGAGCTTTTCGCTAAACCATGTACAAAACAACCCAAGTGATAATTTCTTCGATAGAACATGTTTAAACACTAAAGTTCATTAATTTTATGTGTTATATATAAATAGGCAATAGAAAAATCAGTGATTTCTGTATATTCCGTTCCATGAAAAAAGGTAACCAGTTTCAATCTTTAACTTAGATCGAACTGAAAATTGAAATGTAATAATGAAAAACTGTCAAAGTCAAAAGGAAATGTTTTTCGCTGTTTTCCAATCGATTTAGCTATAGAATAAGGTATAGCTAGTGTAGAGGTTTTTCTTCCATACGCTTTTTCTTTTTCACAAATGTTCCTGAAGTGATCTTTTTTTTTTTATTAATGTTGCAAATTAATTTTCACATCACATAATACTCTACTTTTTTTTAAATTAGTGATGTCACTGAATGTCAGGATAGACAGGAGTTTCATTTGTATGGTTTCTAGTTCTAGTTTCTAGTTTCCATGCCATTTATGTTTTCTAAAATCAAATAACAACGTAATATTTTTCAGGAGATGACACTTACACTGCTGTTAATATGTTCAGTGGTGAAAACTACATATGAATAGACATTTTTTGAATTGACATTGAACTGAGGTGGCTTTCACTTGATGAAAATCCATTTAACAAAATAAATAAGAACTAAAAGTTCAGATTTTCACGAAATTATATATTTTCACATGACAATTGTTTCGACAACACCGTGTCTTTATCAAATGTCACATTTTTTAATATACTTTTTGTTTCCATCTGAGAAGTGCTTCTTCTACTTAAAATATATTTATTGGCTTTTGTTCTATTGGCTTTTTATGATAATGCTACCTTTTGAAATTGACAAAAATTGTTCGGGTTCGTCAAAAATCTTAAATATAGTTAATAATATTGAGATATTTTAAATTCTTACACAAAATTTTTGCATGGAGCGGAGATTCTATTATTTTGAATCCCCATGAACTTTATGCTCAACTATTCTTGCTATTGTTTCTATATCCACAAAAACAATTGCGATATTAGAATATTGTTTAAATTTTTAAAGAAACTTCCACAGGCTACTGTAATACTATTTATAAAACCTTTTGGATTGTTGTTTATGAATCAATCTTGTTGATGTTTCGCCTGATGTTTTCCTGTCTGCTTCTTCAGGGCTTAACTGAAACTGACTCGTATTGCACTCTGTGCCATTTGTTAACTGGGGCGGAGCTAAAGGAGGTTGATTGTGTACTGGGTCCATAGAATTCTATTTAGTTAGGTTCTTTTCAAACAATCTATAAGCAGGTATGGAGTAAAATGCGAGCCAGTTTCTGTTAAGCTCTTAAAAAACCCACAGGATGTGGGATAATATTTTTGAATATTTCTCCTATTAATTCTGTTTAAACTATAGCATTCAAACCTCGATTCAAACAAAATGTACGTAGCCATAATCCAGCAAAGAACATGATCTTTCCGTTCAAGATAAGCTTTGGTTAACAAACGATTTAGGTTACTCTCATATAATTCTTTACCTGAAAATGCCATCACAAAAATACTAAATATTTCCACTTTGTCAAAGAGTTCACTTTTACCTTTTACTGTTTGTGAACAAGCACGAATTATTTAACTAAACACCAAACAGTTAATTTAAAGAAAGATACATTGGGAAAATGTTCGGATCCAGTTACCTAGTCTCGTCATTGTCTCTGAAAACATCATTTTTAAAAGTAGCGCTAGATTCTTTTGCCACTACTTACATTACTGTAAATAACTTTTTGAAACGAATGGTGTTGTTGACAATTGCTTTTGAATTCTATTGCACAGTAGTTTAATATTCACACTATATCATTAAACACAGAAAAAGGGGCTTTTTGTTATTTAATAAATCGCATCTCCAGCGCATCTCGCTGTTTCGTGAGAGCCGGGCCGAACAAGCCCGACACATCCCGAAGCGATTAGCGGCAATTTGCCGATTGACAATTTGCAAGAATTTGTTCGGTGATCAAAATTTCTAAAGAGAACCGAAATTACCCACAAGTTCTTTTTTTGCAATTGACTGTGATTATGATGAGTGAGATGTCTCGTTCGCAACAAAAGAATTAAGTTCGTATCCTTGATTTACAAGAGTCTCATTTTTAATATCTAATCTACTACTATCTTTTTTCCCGGTATCTTCTTCTCCACGTTTTGAAACATAGCTTATCGATCTTTCACATGTAATTGATTGTTTTACAACAAGTATTCCAATTGTACTCACGCCAATCCCCTTTTGGTTCCACAATGTCAAAAAGGCACGTTAAATTTGCTTTATGGATTATCTTCTTTGTTTTTAATGGTTTACTGATAATAATGCCAATCTGGTATTTACTTGCAGATTATCATAAACTAAAAAAACAGTTTTAATGCTAAGAGTACAGGTTTTTTAAGCAACAAGAAGGTAGATAAAATAAAATATAATAATAACTTTTGGTGTTGTAGATCGCCATCCTTTTCAAAAATGTCACTGGCCATGATCTATTCATCACTGAGAAAACAGTTTTTAGCACTGTGAGGCAATACTAGAAAAAAACGGTCCTCTAATTGCTATTTTGCTATTGCCATTTGCTGATTAGCGTGTTTATTTATTTTTTGTTGTTTATATGTTCCGGATACTATTTTCTCTTAAAGTACCTTAATTCATAATTTTAGTTATACCCTGTTTTGTAGATTTTTGTTGTTATCTGAGTGGAACGCAAAGGTATAACAACAAAAGATGAATTAAAAAATTTTTGTTTTCGTCAGATTATATCCACGGGTGCTATTTTGACGTTTGTCAATTCTAACGAACATGTCACACGGCACTCAGTAATTAGATTCCTGCTTTTTTGCAAAAATGTAGCCAAGGCTAATTAATAGTTGAGGAAAAATTATAGTATGCAACACATTCTTCTGGCACTCGTTTATTAAGCACTCGAGGACTCAATCTAATCTGAACTGTGACTAAAATGGCGTTTATCAAACTTGTTGCATAATTTAAAAATTTTAATTATCATAGTTGGCATTTAGTTGATTACATGTATTATTCGTGTTTTTACACTATAAATATCTTTTCTTGCCTTATTTTTAAAACGGTAGCATTCCGAAAAAGTGCATAGAAATTGTCCCACTGTAAACTTTCGACTTTAGCTCAATTTTTTTAGAAACTATTTCGCAAGAGTGCTGATTTTTTTTATGCGTAGCAACGGGTAAACAAATGAAATGTGCATATGTGGTAGTTATAAAGAGAGCAACAAACTTCTCAAAGACTTAAATTAATTGCCTGGCAACCGAAATTTTCACATTTTTTGTTTTTAATAATTTGGTTACTGTTTAAGTGTACTTAAATACTACACCGCAAAAAGCTGCTCAAATTATTGCTTTAGTCGAAAATGAACAATCCGATCGAACCGTTATAGGATAAGCTAAAATGAAGAATTCAAGCTAGAATTCGAACCCCAACCTCGATTCCAGAGGTTATTGTTGCAGTAGAGGAAGAGTGGTTTCACATTCCACAAGAAACAATAACGAACTTGGTTAGATCTATGCCTAATCGTCTAAAAGATGTTATTTAAGTTATACCCATTATTAAAAAATTATTTTTAAATTGTTAATTGTCAATCAGCCTATTTCTATTTTAATCAATTTAAACTCGTATTAAAGCACATTAAATTATTTTTCAAAGAGTATATTTATTTTGTAATTTTAGTGAAAAGTTACAATGGGCTGAATTCTATGCACACAAGTGTATTTTGCTTTAATTCGGCAAAAAAAATTATCGATCGACATACATACAAACATCATTCCAAAGACAATAATCGTTTTACCTAGGTGATAAGACGGATTACAATTTCCCCATTCAATGTAAATCGTGAGTGTACCTTCTATATCGTCACTGCAAAAGATCGATCGGATTAATTTAAGCCGCGATAAAATTAAATGCCGCGAATTATAGGCGGGGGCCTCCTTTTGGTTTAACATTTTACAGTTATGACGCGACGATATAACCTTGCTGTTGCCCATATAAATTCCCCAGATGCTATTTTCGAAGAGCGCTAAACGTTTTTTCTTTCATATTTGTTTCAGACCGCGAATCGGCATCCTCGGCCAAACGAGAAAAGCTAAGAACCTGCTCCTTGGAATGGCCTCAGCTAAAGCGCAAAAATGGACAGGTTAGTCGAGTACGATCCGCACCAAATTTAACGGTCGGAATCCAAGATAACCGGCTCTGACTTCAAAAATAGAAAACCCTCTTCGCTTAGAAAAGTAAAATTATTGTCGGAGATTTTTTGCCCTTTAGATCTTAAAGTTTAAATCGTGCATACTACAATTTTGACATACACTTGAGTAAATGGTCCGTGATCAATTTTAGCGACATTTTCATTAAAAGGTTAATTTTACTTCTGAACTGTATTGTCTTGTGTTGCATTGTAAAGTGACCTTAGTATGTTCTGCTTCTTAATGCAAGAGCGTTCTATAATGTAAATTTGGGTAAACAGGGTGGGCAACTTAAAGGTTGTATCATAAAGTTCAGATAAATTGCAATTACAGCATTTAAAAATTCCGTTTTTCAGTATTTAGGACTTGCACACCTTGTATAGTTCCGAAATTGGGGTCACACTAATTTGCATCCAATTGAAATGCGAGTTTGGTGAATAAAAGTAATATGACAGTGGCGTTAATACAGGTAGTTTATCAGAATAATAAATATAATAATAATTATCCATCATTATCACGTATAGTTATCGAAAGAGCAATTTTTTTCTGGCAACTCATCTGGTTAGGTATTTTACTTTTTAAGTAAAACCAGAGTATTTTTTATCTTTTTCTTTTCTTCCTGTACTTCTCTTTGGTGACCCTTTATTCCAGTGCACAAGTCAATATATTTTCAAAGTTTGAACTATTTTTGTAATTCCGAATTTTGAGTTTTGCTGGAAAAAAGCGTTGAAAACATTGAGAAAAACAATTTTCTCATTTTTAGAGAGGAAGTTTTATTAATCCGTTTCTAAGCAGCAAATTCAGAACAACTAGTCATTTAAAAGAACAACTGCCGATGAGTAAATATAATTCTAATTTTAAACACTATAGCATAGGTAGGTCTGCCTGTCTACCTACCACTCTCGAAATTATTGACAATCATCATAGGTACAATACTACGCCTATGAAATACGGCTCAGATAGTTCAATAACGATTTATAATTATTTCCCATTAAGAAATAGTCTACTTGTCCTTTTTGTTCCTTGTCAGAATTGTTTCACTTTTTTAAAAAACGTGTGCATTGATTACTTCAAATCAAAATATTTCGAAAACGATTGCTGCTAGCGACTTCTAACATGACCTTTTTCGTGTGAAAATATAATACAGGGTCTTCCATAAAAGTATGAACCTTTGAATCTAAGAAAACACATGTAGTTAACGCCTACTACAAATAAGACCCCAGGTATCAATTTTATTTAGGAAATTATGCAGAAAACGAAACATAAATACCAACTTTTTATTTTAGATATACTCGAGATATAATATATATGTATAATTTTCGACATTAGTTACATAACACCGTGTATGCCACCACAGTCTTCGACAAGATGAACGCTATAAGTCTTAAACCTTTAAATCGACTATCGTTCGTTACTTTTCCTCTCTCAATTTGAATCGCTACGTGGTTTCGAGTGAAGATAAGATTATTTATTAACATTTGGTTTAGCTGTTAATGCCTCTCCATTTTTTTCTTTCCAATATTTTCCCGATGCGTTGCGTTTGGTGTGGTTTTGTCAGTAATGTCATGAAGTGATATAAATAAACTTCGGATTTGCGTTAAATATTAGATTTTAAATATAAACCAAATTTTTATTTAAAAGATATCTACAAATAAAATTGTATATTATACGAAATTTTTTTTTAATCCTTGCTATAAAATATAAAATTAAGCACTCATCAGGGGCGAAGTGAGCAACTTGTCACTCGATAAACTTCTCTAAACGTTCCCCTCGTGTCTAATACACTTCCATTTTTAAAATCGTTCAATAAGAGGAGATTTTATATCTCTTTAGACCTTCATTTCATCAAAAATATGTGACATTACATTCCGTCACACGATAAATGGTCATGACTGTAATAAAGCTATTCATGGGTTTATCTGCTCGCAGCCATTTTTGCGCTAATAAATCAAACCGGTTCAGGATAGAGTAGTAAGGAAACTGATACACAAAATATACATAATGCATAAGAACTTCTGATACATCCACAATCATTTATTATTACTCAATTGTGAGTGATATTATAGTCCGACACACGATAAATTTCTTAGTGTCATGGGTGTCGAGCCAAGTTCCATTTAAATAATATATATGGGTGACTGTAGTAAACGGCATTTGAGGCGCAAGTTGCTTAATAAACGAGTGACTTAAAGAGTTTACCAAATGTGTTGCAAACTATACATTTTCTACGATCGTTAGTCTTTGGGTACATTTTTGCAACACAACACGAATACATTCACTAACATGATCGTTAGAATTGACAATGTCAAAATTCAAACAGTGTGGTAAAATCTCGAAAACATCCGAAAAAAGAAAAAAATTATTCACGTTTAGTAGGTTTGTATAAACGTGATTTATCAAACCTGACGCAACCAAAACCGACTCCATCTAGATAGAGGAACTCAAGCTAAAATTAATGTGAATATTTTAACATGCGAGATCGACCTGAATGCATCTCTTTTTCTCTAGGCCCCTTAGTCTTGTCTAAGGTATGACGTAACGTATATGCGTATGACCTATTATTATAACCTAGACATGAAATTTGATCTAAATTCTTCAATGGTTAACAAAATTTCCAATTATTTCGATAAATTCAAATTTAAATTTAATTTAAATTCATAACAGCAATTACTAAACAGCAAACCTTATAACTTCTATAAGGCGGCACCTAGGTATTATAATAGCTGTATCTGCCTAATTGTCCAGACTTCTTTCGTCATAGAGGTTTAAATAACAATAAACAATAATCAGGCTACAGTAAAAGGTTTGAAAATATTGAAACCCTATCCGAAAAAAGAATACCATACCAAAAATATAACAACAAAAAAAGAAAAGTAAGGCAAATACTAATATCGAAAACTATAAGTGTAATAAGATTATTAATAAGAGTTTAATTTTGCCATAGTTCCGAAGTTAAAGCAGACTTACAAAGGCTTGTTTATTCAATCGGAAGTAACTTTTAAACAATTTTTAAAAACGTTTTTCTTTAATGTTACGTAAATTAGCAGATATTATATTATACAATTTGGGGCCAATATATGATACAAAATGCTTTCCCTGGCAGTTTGCGCACTAACTAACCAAAACTGCTTGCAGTTATTATATACAAACTTCTAATTTCAAGGATGTCCCCACAATACAAGAAATTCGTTCGATATAGTTTTGGTTTTGTCAGTAAAGTGCGCAATATATAGTTTCGTCTTACTTTTAGATGGTCTAGATGACAGTTGTGTGCTCCTCCCGATACCAGGACCTACACAAGTGCTTTATAGTTTACAACATTTTCACTTTCAGAGGTTCTGTATCATTATGTTGTGTTTTTGCAACATTTAAACTTAACTTTAGCGAATCGAGGATATTTTTAATGCTCGTAAAACCCGTCTTTATTTTTTCTCTGGCTTCTGATCAAGTTTCTGCAGAGAAATCTATGACAGCATACGGCATACGAAATAAGTTTGCCATGAAAGACAGAACTTCGTGGGTTGTTCAAGTAAATATTAAAAAGTATGGGTCCTATTACCGTACCCCGTGGCATGCCGAGTTTAACTGTCCCTATTTCGCTCACAGTCTTCCCGGTCCTGACTTGGGGGTGGTTTGTAAGGTAGCTCGCAAAAACCTCCAACTCAATAACTCTCACACCGCAGGCTTCTAAAACCTCTGGCAAAAAAGTATGCAAAACTGTGTCGAAGGCCTTTGCAAGATCGATAAAGAGTGCAATACATTTTTACTCATTATCCATTTTTTCTGAGATAATATTCACCAATTCAAACATTGCTGTGTTGGTTCCCTCTTTGAACTTAAATTAGTTTTTTGAGTGAATAGTATTTTTATGCAAAACCATTTCTCGAATATTTTAGCATTATTAGATATTATCGAAATAGGTCCGTAATTGCTTAAATGAAATTTGCCGCCCAACATTTTCCAAGTTATGCCGTAGCGAGTCGTATGACGTAGAACAGGAAATTTAATCTCAATTCGTCCACGAACAACAAAATTTCCCATTATTTAAATACCTGAATTTTTGATATTTTAAATCAATTCATAAGGTTTCCAAAACGAATACAGAATATTAGAAGTCTAAACCAGTGTCGCGTGGCGCCTCGCGAAATTTTGTAAATTTTTACGTCAGCGTCCGTGTTTGCTTATAATATTATTTATTATTCACGTGGTCTATTTAATCACCTGACGCTGCGGCGCAAAAAGTCTAGGTTGGACCATCTCCGTCTTCTGGGCAAAAGTCGAATTTTTGAAAATTTAAAGAAGCCAATTCGCCGACGCACCTGAAACTTACTAAAAAGTCTTGCCTGTTTGATTGGTGTAGTTTGGTGCGTGGATATTTTTAATTTCATTTATTTTCAGCTCGCATAATACTTCTTTACCTACATGATGAGTTCGGTTTACTTACATGTCGGTAATACCAGCATATCCGAGTTATTTATGCAAAAAACCGGTTCGTTATCCTTTAAAGCTTGTTTTACGGCCGATTTTTAATGCGTCTTAATAATTTAGAATGCGCACGGTCTTATCTTGGTTCGTTCGTATCGAACCATGCGGCCGGCGAAGAAGAAATTCGTCGGTTCAAAAATACAATAACATTTAGTGTTAAGTTCTCGTCGCTCGATCACGAGCAAATAAAAAATACCGTATTTGGTTAACCTATTACTTCTGTTTATTTAAAATCTCTTGCCCATAGAATTAATACCAGTCACGCTGTATAACTGGTTTAGCCTGTTATTTGCAAAGGCAAATGCAGAAGTTATGCTGGCATTGATTAGAAAAGTCATAAAAAGGCAAAATTAGGTCCGCTTAAATGCCAGGGTTGACAAAATCATTGCCAAGACTATGTATGTATAAATATGAACTCGATATTGATGCCAGGTGAAATTTAAACCACGAAATAGGTCTTTGAATTTTA